TCTCGTCGGTAAGTTTTAGTTCTTTGCCTTTAGTTTCCTTGCCGTTACTGGACGGTCCTTTCTTCCTTTTAGGGACTTGTCCCTTGCTTCTTTCGGCGTTGTGACTTTCGTGATCGTCGGTATTCCGGCATTATCCTCGCTGAGAGATAAGTATTTTCTTGGTCCGGGGTATGTTGCAACTAGCATCCTCAAATACGATGCATTTCGTAAACTGTGGCATCAGCTAACTCCACATATCCAAATCATGAGTCTCTTATTGGCAAAGAGGCAGTAAAAATATTTAAAGTAGAATCCGAATTACCTTCTTACCATCCTTACCCAGAATCAGAATTTATTGGTATACCGTTTCCTCGATATAAATTAACGAGAATGTGAGATGGAAGTAGATCAGCTAAGAATAATAAAGCTGTAGGAACGATGGAAAATGATAGATTAGCTGAAAAACTCAACGATCCCGAAGAACACGCCAAAATCTGAGGTAAAACCAAGGAATTAGAACAAACCGAAAACAATTCAAGTCGGATATCACCAATATGATTGATTCCTACTGTGTTGGTAACTATGACTGTAACGGCATTGACGGTATTTTTAGTGCTGAAAAAAAGAATGTTAAGTCATAAGAAATAATTATGAGTGTTGTTAAATGTTCACTTTGTCTGGTTTTGTTGCAGCATGCAACATCTAGTCTGGTCCAAACATTAAATCCGCAACATATATCCATATTTTTTTAAGAAAATATTTTTTTTTAATTGCAAATGGGCATTAAATGAGAAGCTTTATTAACATATGTTTGTTGCTATTACATTAACAATCTTTGTAAAATACAAATTAATTTTTTTTTTTTTTAGATAAAGAATGTTAGTAACACATGATATTTTATTGAGTTATTTGATTACAAGATTCATTTAAGTTAATCTGCTCTTCTATCTATAGCCTTATCCAGTTATATCAATTTTATCCATTATGGGAATAAATCAATACACCAAGTAAGATCTTTAGGGAATAGAAATTTTATTACTAATTTAAATTATTTAACTTAATCTAGATTCTGGCAGTTGTCATTTTGAAGCATATATTTTTTTGGATTGATTAGAATATCTGAATAATTTATTTAATATTTTTTATCTGGAATTTTAAAAATACTGTACTTTTTATTATTATTTGTGGTTTTGGATTTTTCTTTAATAAGATCCTCTTCTTTTAAGCAAGTACTGGATTGGAATAACCCCAGGTTAAAGTGTTTTTTATACTATGGAGTTTGCTGTATTAGAGAATTGTGGGCTTTTATTAAAGCTAAACCAGAAGTTTTTTTTCATGCAACCTTTTCTATTTCAACCTGTTTTTAATTCACAATTGTTAGAAAGATTGGAGGTCCCATCTTTATGGGTTTAACTAAATTTGGTCAAGATCTGGATGTTTGAATATGACATTTGTAGGAAATTAATAAATCCATAAATGAAAAATAATTTTATATATTTTGTTTCCTATGGGTATTAAATTAGAAACATATATTTGAAGACCAGAAAGTATTATTCACTGTACTATTGATCCATTGGTCAAAATACAAATTAATTATAACTTATTATTACTATAAAGTAATATAAAAATTTTGAAAATTTTTATAAGAAAAAAAAAAATAAATAATAGCTAGTTGATAATTATATTATAAATTAATATGTGTTTACCAGAAAAGTTTTATTAAAATATATACCGTATATATATTGTATTTATTATATATAGTAATACTTGAAATTTTTTAAAAATTTTTTTAATATATCTAATTAAATAAAAACTTATTTAAATTAAATATAAATTTAAATATAAATACTTAAACACTATAAAATTATTTTTACTTATAACTAGATTATAGATTATATTATTAATTTTTTTTAATAATTATTTTAAGTAAAAAATTTTATATTATACTTAGTGCTCAGCACAATCAAATAATTATTTGATAGTCAAATACTTAGTAAATATTTGACGATCACCAATTTCCAAATCAAGTAATATATAATCTGCATATCAAAATCAATATAAGCTTATTGTACTTTCGACTCTTAACTTATAGCAAGATCACAGAATCGGCGGTATATGCGCCTCCCCCTAAAAAAGAAATAAAATATAAAAAAAAATATAAAAAATATAAAATAAAATAAAAATAAAAAGATAAAAAAATAAAAAAATAAAATAAATAAAAATAAAAAATAA